AAAATTAATATTTTCTTTCTGTTTAGTTGATTAGTACATTATATCAACTCAAGAGTAGTTGATTAGTATATTAATCACCTAATAAATTTGTATTTTCTTTTCTGTTTAATAGATTAGTATATTAATGAACTAAAAAACTAGTTGCTCAGTACATTTATTAACTCAACAGTAGTTGATTAGTACATTAATCAACTAATAAATGTATACTTTTCTTTCTGCTTAGATGATTAATACATTAATCAACTCAATTTTAGGTTAATCAAGTTATTGATCAATTCAAATTTGGGTTGGTAACCTATTGATCAATTTTTTTTTTTTTGTTGAAAACAAAATGTTTAAGTTGATCACAATGCTGGTCAACTCAAATTTAGGTTGATCAAGTCATTGATCAACTCAAATTTGGGTTGATTAACCTATTGAGCAACTTTTATTTCATGAAAACAAAATGTTTAAGTTGATTAAGTTATTGATTAACTTAAATTTAGGTTGATCATATTATTGATCAACTCAAATTTGGGTTGATACTCATTGATCAACTCAAATTTTATTAAAGCAAAATATTTATGATCAACTTTTATTTAATGAAAACAACATGTTAAAGTTGATCAATATGCTGATCAACTCAAATTTAGGTTAATCAACTTATTGATCAATTAAAATTTTGGTTGATCAACTCAAATTGGATCCAGATGGATTTGAACCATCAACCTCTCATCTAATGAGTGCTCTTACCATTTAGAGCTTATGGATCCATCCAACAACACCATATAACATAGTTAAATAAACCAACACTGTTATTACAAATGCTCAATAGTAATTAGGTCAAAACCGAAAATAGTCAACAATAATACAAACAGGACAAAAGTTTCATAAATCATAATCATTTCAATTTTCAAATGTTGAAAGCTCCTGCATATTGGAAGCAGTCAACAATAACACAAACATTAACATATTTTTCTAAGATCCTTAAGGATTTATTACAAAGGAAATGGAGTCCCTCAAATTCCGCATTTATAATCTGATGACTACTAAAACAGATGTTTTTAATAAGAAATGCTAAAACAAAATATGCACTACTGTAGTGGTACTACATTCATCAACCACTTAAAAAGCTACATATGGCACTAACCCGACCTGATAAAGTACACCGACCCGACCTGATGCCGATCCACATCAACTGATCCATCAGCTCAAGTATAACAGATAAGGAAACATATCAAATTAGATATTGGAAGATATCTTGACAGCATGCAGAATACTTATTGTCTTCTTCATGCGATTATTAATTGATTCTATTTTCTAATCAATGTACACAAGCAATCTTGGGAATCAAGGAAGATCCCAAGATCTCTCCTCCTCATCTCCTATAAAACCTAAGAGCTTTGGTGGCTTGAGGGACAAGGAGTTCAACCCCCCAAGCTCCACTTTGTATCACCACTTTTATAATAAAGATCTATCTATCTTTCTCTGTGGACGTAGGCTCTTGCTGAACCACGTATACAATGGTGTTCTTATCTTATTTATTTATTTATCATTCATCACACAATAATTTACTAGTTAATATATTAACCTACATCGTAGCTCCATCCAAAATTAGGTTAATACAACTACTAATTATCTGACGTACCCATACTCATGATTCAAGTCACAATATCTACGATCTGTTTAGCTAAAATTCTACTAACGACTTATATTTTTCACATTTCTATGCATTGGCTTTAGGTAAGCAATCTAAAAATTGATGCTT